CCCCCACACGAAGGGCAGCTATCCGATGGGCAAGCCAGAACCTGGCCTGGGTGGTAATGAAAACTACTATGCTGAGGGGCTTGGCACAAAATGGCATGCTTTGAGTCGTCAAAACCAAAGCAGGGGCCCCAAAACGACGAGAACTGGCAGCGCCACGCTTAGCAAACGCTGGCCTACACTAAGTTCTTAGGTTCCACATATCTAGGTCCTTCGGAGGCCACATCTAAAAGAGCCACAGGTCACTGCTGAGGGTCGCTGTGCCCAGGCAGCGCTGCACAGCAGAGGACTGAGTCTACCCAGTGAGCCGCGGGGACCGCTTCCAGCCCAGGAGTCTCCCCAGTTCTAACGCTGAAGCGGGAAGCAGACTGGTATACAAGAAGCAAAGTCAGTTTTTTAAATGAGAACTTTTACAGAGAACGTAAAAAATCAGAGTCTGAGCCCTCTTTTCATATCTCCTCCCTTCAACTATGCCAACATTTTTTGCTTTGTTCCTCATTAAACTACCAATCCTACTGTCCCTATTTTTCTGGCACCCTGCAATAGCCTCTGAGCAGAGGTGGCAAACCTGGCACATGCACCACAGCTGGCTACTTGACAGCTCTGAAAGGTTCCCCATCGCTGCATCAGCCATGTGTGGGAGTACTGTGAAAGACTGCAACCATACACAATGCTCCAGACACATACGAATGCCAGGCAACAGTAACAGGGTTAATGAACTTCTACCGCTTACACCCCAGGAAGTTATCAACTGGACTGTTGCCTAGAAACACACAAACGAAGCAAATGGTACATATAACCCACCAGCTTTCACCTCCCTCGAAAGGGGTTTTATTACAAAGCCAATGAGACACCACTTCACACATTAGAAGGGGGTGCCGGGGATTCCTTCCACCGTCACGTGAAACCCTCCCACGGGAGGTACTGGCCCTGCTGCTAACTGCTGGTAGGCAGGCCTTCTGCTGCCCGGCGTCCAGCGTAAGTAGGCACACCCAATAATCCAGCAGACTGCTACAGTTCTGGTTCTGGGCCTTCACATCCCCTCTCCCTGGAGTTCTCATGCCTTCCATGACAAGGGACTGTAGTCTGTGCCTCAATTTCTGCATCTCAGAAACACACAGAGAGAGAGCATGCCCTTGCCACTCAAGTTTTATCTAAACAAAAACCTAATTGTTCCTGCTCAAGGGACAGCCGAGGCGCAGTGAGAGATCAGAAACCCCGTGCAGCCGCCCCCCTCACCTCCAGTCTCAATGCAGGGATAGGGCGGGGGGACCTCCTTCCAGTTCCCACTGGAGTCCTTCATGTGAGAGCGGTCAGAAGCAAAGTTCTTCAAATAGCAATCAGCACGGATCACTCTGAATTTCCTGCAGACAGAGCAAAATGCAGTCCTCAGGGAGGGGTCACATTTGAAATTCTAACTCAGCCTTTGTAAGGCCCCGCTGGCCCTGGCACACACAAAGCTGCTCAGGTATGCTTTTTACTTCTGCAGTGAAGAGATCCATGTATAGCTTTAAGCCTACTTCACAAGCTATGGGCAGGCAATCCAAGCTGCAAAGGTACGGAGGTACTGCTGTCTAGCTGCTTTATTTACTCTACCAGGCCATCAGCACAGAGAGCAGAATTTTCTGTTGCCTCTGCACGTCTCTCACTTTTGGCAGCATGAGGCACCCCGTCTCCCCAAACACGAATATGAGAAATCCCAAAAGGCCTGAAAGAAATTGCTTGAGATCTTTTCACATACATTTTTCAAAGACTGCCAACCTCTTGCACGGTGGATACGCTCCTTAGCTCACTGCGTGGTGAGAAGGGCAGCATGCTCCAACAGCAGTTCAGCGCGGCAACCACGGTGAGCGAGCTTTACAAATTCACCGCGAAAGGGCAGAACTCCGCGGGCCGGCCAGTGAGCGCCTGCGAGTGGCCTCACCTCCTGAACTGTGGCTGAAGGTTGTCATCAGACTTGAAGGCATCTTCCACGTATGGGTCAAAGGGGCAGGGAAACGGTAAGGCAGTATCCAGATCGTAAATGAAGCTCTGGCCTCCACTTGAGACGTGAAGCAAGACCACATGGTAATCCTGGAAGTGAAAGCGGCTGAAGTTAACCAAAGAGCGCTAGGATGAGGACACTCCAGGGCGCCAGTATCAGCACACACACAGCAGCACAAAAACAGACACAAGACTAACTCACCCCTCCTTATAACAGCAGCAGCAAATAAAACAGGCACAAAACCCAGAAGCCAGAACAAACACAGAGGGCCAGGCAAGTGGTTAAAAAATCTGACCTAACAGTGTTACCCCTAGGAAAACTGTCATACAGAAAAATGACCCCAAGCAAGGAAA